ATAGGTGAGGGGCCGACAGATGGCCAGGAATCTGTCATAGGCCATGGCAGTCAACAGGAAGCAGTCCACCCCAACAAGCAAATGGAAAAAGAAGAGCTGTACGAGGCATGCACTGTAGGAAATCGCTTGCGTTCGGAGCAACAGTCGACTCAACATGGAGGGAACAGTGACACTGATGCAACCCATATCTAGCACCGACAGGTTCCCCAGGAAGAAGTACATGGGAGTGTGGAGTTTGGGCTCATGAATGATGGCAGCCAGGATGCTGAGGTTGCCCCCGACGGTGACCAAGTAGGCAAAGAGGAAGAGTACAAAGACAACTGGCCACAGCTCCGGTGTTTCCACCAAGCCCAGCAGGATGAACTCAGCAACTGCAGTTTTGTTGGTCCCAGCTTCTGGCTCCATGAGTTACTATAAGGAAATGTCCCAGCAGGGGAGGTATCAGTCCTCTCATTCACTTACTCAACACAAACATTTTAAGCGATTTTTGCTCAAAGCCCCATGGTGAGTTCCCAGTGTTTAGGTGAATATTTCCCCAGGACCCTGCCATACCTCACTCACTAATCTCCACCACCTCAGTGCTTTTACCCTGCTCTTGGTTGAGATGCCCAAGGCCACCACCACCTTTCCCCTCCCTTCTGCAACCTGAATGGGTTGCAATACTTTGGAAAATAAATTAAGATTCAAGATCTAATGTACAACATGAGGACTCTGGTTAATAAAGAATACAAGTCTGCCAGTTGAGTTCATGAACTCATCCTAGAAAAAGTGCTTTTGAAGATGGACTAGACCCTGGCATCAGTGCATAGCTTTCCCAGGAGAGTATCTCAAAGGTGACAATTGAGGTATATAGAACTTTTTCTAGAATGAGTTCATGAACATAATTGTCAAGCCTTGTACTCAGGATTTTGCTGAATGTACAGAGAATACCTGTACACTGGGTAGCTATGTGAGATGATGGATATGTTGATTTGTTTCACTATAGTAACCATTTTACTTTATTTATTTCTCTCATTACATCATGTTCTATACCTTAAATCAGGCATCCTCAAAATACAGCCCGCAGGTGACATGTGGCCTGCCTAGGACATTTATCCTGCCAGCTGGGTGTTTTTGCTGCTGCTGCCTGTCCTGCTTAGCAGCCGATTCATCCTGGGTCCTGCAGCCCAGCCCTCCAACGGTCTGAGGGACAATGAACTGGCCCCCTGTTTAAAAAGTTTGAGGACCCCTACCTTAAATATACATAATAAAATTTGTTTTAAAAAAACAAAAAGTCTTCCTTTTTTTAATATAGCAAGACTGAGGTCGAATTTCCTCGTTGTTCTCTGAGAGATGAGCCCAAACCAATAAGCAGATTTCAAAACAGAAATCCTAAGATATTAGAAAGCATTTACAAACATAACCCATGTTTAAAGCATTCTAGCAATAAGTGAAATCAAGAGAAATTATAGTAAGAATCAGAGAAGACACCCATGATTGAGGGTGTCAGGAAGAACAGTTGAGTACATTCTCCAAGGGACCATAATCTGAAGTGTACATTAAAATCCCTTGTTCAGTACGTGGATAGTGTTATTATTGTTACTTAAGCCCTTACACTGGACTTTGAATAACAGCTTAATTTAAAAATACATCTTCTGTGTATGTTGTCAAGTCCTGTTCTCTAAAACTAAAGTTGTAAGCAGAGCCTATGGGTTGGTTGCTGACAGGTTGAGTTAAAATTGTGCATTCCACAGTCACTGACTGGATTACTACCTGTCCTTGACTTGGGCATGGCACATGGACCAACCACTGTAAGGCTATGTTCTCAAATAATGAAGGCAAATTCTTGAAAACCAAGATTGCATTAAGACTTTCAGATTTTATGTCAAGCTCTGGATCAAAAACTATCAATGCTTGTATTGCCTATGGAATAAGCAGGGCTGCACCTTTAATAACAGTAATGTCATCACTGTTCTTGCACAGAACAGCTGGGAATCAGAGCTGGGAAGCGTCTGGAGTCTGGTCCCTCTAACAGAAGGGGAGATGACACCTAGTGGTAGGCTGTGAAATTCAGGGGCAGGAGTGGTTAAGGAGATCCCAGAAATCAGAGATGCTGCAGCAGTACAACTGATAGGAGCCTGGGGATCCAGTCACTGAAAACAATGTGAATTGAGTGCACAGTTTGGTGGCAGAGTCTTCTCTGGGCTCAGTTTGGATCTGAGAGGGAGAGGAGGCAGCCCTGAATGAGAAGCCTCACACAGGCAAGTGGACTGTGCAGTGTAGGTGAGACTGTAAAAGCAAGAAGACGGCATTGTCACCATCAACTGCAGAGAATTCAAGGCCAAGGTGCTCAGAGACTACCAGGAGTCATGTGGTGAGCCTCAGCACTGGCTATACATAGAATTATGTGGGAACTTTAAGCCAGCGTGATGTTCAGACTTTACTCCCAACCCAATGAGATGAGACTCAGACATCAGGATTTTTTAAAGCACCCATGTGATCTCTGCTGCCTCAGAATTTCTCTGACAGATACTTCCAACTGCCAGCTCTTTCTTTCCATTCCTTCAAATTAAGACAAGGTCCTTTCTCACTTTCTTTTCACTGATAATCTTGAAGGGAGAAGAGACAGGTTAAAAGAAGAGTCTGAAAAGGTACAGGAATTTGAGGTATCTTCCAAAGGCTTGGTGGTCCAAATTTCCAGCCACAATTCCTGACCTCTGTTAGAACAGATGCTCAGGTCCCTTGATTATCAACCACCTGGGAAACCTACAGAAGAAAACACTGCTTGCCACATTTTCCACCAAAAATACTAATTTAATTATGGTGGCACCTGGGCATGGATGGGTCATTAAAGCTTCTCAGGTGGTGCTAATGTCCATCCAAGACAGAGAAACTGACAGATTTGCACTCTGGGGGTGTGATAAGGCTTTCTGCTCCCCTCTTCTCTGCTCTTCTCCAAACAGGACATAAACAGCTACCAGCCCTTCAGGTTATGTTGCCCCCAAAGACCACTGCACCTGGGCTTGCAGTCAAGGCACTGACTACAGACTGGCCCACTGTATCCAGTGGATATTATGCATTTCATCGGGCTCTCTATTGCACAAGAGGACGTTTCCAGTGTGAGGCTAACTCATCATCCCAGATGAGGTCTCTGTTTTGTGTGTTCAGGCCTCAGGGAAACAGTAGAGGGGATACTGCATGGATGAGAACTTGGATGTGGGGATCTTCAAGATGTCCAGATTATTCCATGAGCACATAAGTTTTGGGAGAGGACAGAAATCATCCTCAGGCCTGATTATCATTGATAAACTTGGTAACTAAAAAATGCTTTGCAAATCACAGGTCGATGGATGGATAACAGCTTTTTATATATGATACAATGAAACATATTTCACTACTCCCATTTCCCCACATTTTAACACAAACATTAGATTGCTGCCCTCTGATTTTCCACCTCTTTGCTTATGCCGTGTCTGCTGCCTGTAGTGGTTTTCCGCCAACTACAGATGCCTCAGTATTTCAAGACTTCTTGCAAATAATTGGCTGCTGAATTATTTGTTCCTTGAAAATTTCCTCTCTCTCTCCTTTACTACCACCACAAAATATTTTTTAAAACTTATGACTGTTTACCTTCTAGCTCAGTCAGTTCTCTCCTATTTCACTGTGACTTGCAGACAGATATATGTTTCATTCATTTTGTCGCTAGCAATAGTCATCATAATATTATACACATAGTGTTAATAGTAACCCAATATTTTGTAAATACATGGATGATTTCAGAGAAAGACAGCATCAGTATGAGCTAGAGTTGCTCTGGAGGGCTTTCTGGTCACAGTGGAATTCAAGCTACATTTTCTGGATTAGTAGCTTTAGGGGAGCTGTAGGTTTAAGTGCCTGGTGAAGGGTTTTGGCAGGAACTCCTTTGTGTTAATAGACAAGTGGGTCATGTACTAATCCATGTGCTGACAGGCTTCTCACCTAAACCTCCCCAAACAATGAGACCCTCACAGAGAAACACATGATGGCCAAGGGCAGAGGAGCCAGGAAATAGCTGCTGCCAACTCTCAGAGGCTAGAGATGTAGCTCACTTAAAACCTGGGATTACGAGATGGCCTCAGGTCACCTGAGAAGCCCATCCAGAGTGTCTGGCAGGGTCAGCACCAGGCTCACTGAGGATTCCTTCTGCATTGCCACTCTCCAGGCTCTCCTGGCTGAGCTGACAGGTCCCTATGCTGGGACTCCAACCCATCCCATCATGCTCCCAGTGATGAAAGTGCTCACCAAGGCCTTGGCTGGAGTGAAGTTCCTCAGCCTCCTCAGTGAGCAGGCTTCACCTGAGAGAGGACATGGCAGTGGGGAGCCCAGACCTCTGGCTTATAGTCCCAGCTCTCTTCTTAAATAGTTTTCCTTTTCAGGGGCATCCCCTGCACTGTGCATAAAGTCAGGTTCATCAAGCTGTTGGGACAGAAGCCCCTTCTCTGTTTTGTAAGAGCAGAGGAAGGACTCATGAGAATACTCACCCTGGAAGGGGCCTAGAATCCAGAGAGGGTTGTTCAGGAGACACAGTGAGGAGCTGTGCAGACCCAGTTATCCACCCAGAAAGCAAGTAAGTAGCTCTGTATTAGATATGAGAAAACAGGCTGATATCTTCTCTGTCAGGGGGTAATCCTTTGGGAAACTCAGAATTAGCCTGCCCAGGAGAGAAGAGTCCACAGGGAGAGACAGATGGAAAATGAAAATAAAATCAAGCCCTTAGAAGTTGAGAGCCCTGGTGGAGGCCACAGATTAATGAACTGGATGGGGAACATTGAGGGGTGTGTTCCTCCAACTCCCATTCCCACCAATAATTGCTCATGCAACTTCCCTTCCACCAGGACAGAGTGCTCTTTCTTCTCCTAGCAGGGAAGTCTGGTGCTGTAGGCAAGGCATTACAGATAGACCTGCTCTTCTGGCTATTAGTGTTTTGACTCTACAAGCTGCTGCTCTTGGACCTCAGTTTCCTCATCTATTAAATGAACATGTACCCTCCACCACAGAGCATTGCTGTGAACATTAAATTGAAATTAAGATTTATTAAGCTGCTAGCAGAGCTTCAACAATTCACTTATACATGCATTGCTAACATTTATGAGCATTTGTTATGTTCCTGGCAATGCACTAAGAACTCTACTAGTCTGAAGACCCTGTCGACCCTCACAACAATTCTAGGGGGTAGGTTGTAGCAGACATCAGATGTTATGACTCACATCTGCTTAATCTGTCTTCTGATTCAGCCATGGCTGGTGGGACAATTCTCTGCAGGCTTCTGCTCACTGCAAGTGACAGTGTAGCCTCTTCCTGGGATGCTCTGATGGGAGAACACTGGGGGAGCTTACTCTGTCTGAGCATATGTGGAGCTCAGCAGTGCAGAGGGCAACTTGACAATGGGGAATGGAGACAGTGGGCAGAAATGCCACACCCATCTTCACACAGTTCCAAGGGTAGGGGGCATTCTATAAAGTCTATACAATCAAATCTCCGCTGTCCATAGCAGGGACTGTGGTAAAGTGCCTCTTAGTTAGTGACAATCCTTCCTTCTCTGTCTCACTTTGTCCATAAATCAGTCCTCCTCCCTGGGACCAACTCCCAGTAAATATCCTCGCTCTTGCTCCATGAGATTTCCCAGTTAAACCACACACACACACACACACACACACACACACCTTGTCTTATACTCTATTTTGGAGGGAACTCACTAAGACATTTGATTCTGGGATAGCTCCAGGAAGCATATCCTCCAGGAGGAATCCTGAAACTGGACCAATCACCACTCCGGGGATGGTGATAACCCCATATGTGGTGGCAACATACTTGCTCAGACTTGCTTGTGAATGATTGGGATCAGGCACAGGTGGAAAGGAAAATGCAGGGTTAAATGTCAGCTGTATTGCATTAATGTTATTAGCACTGTAGTAACTATAAGTATTATGGAATGTTAAGAATATGGATGGCTTTTGTTAAGTCCCTTGGAAGCCTGGTATAAACTGAAAAATAGGTCCGTGTTATCCAAGAGTGATCAACTTAGGGTGTGTTGTTAACTCTGGAAATTTTCCATGGTGACATTTAATGAGAGATTGATCTTCTGCAGCCATAGATGACCAGTGCTGAGAATCAGCCCTAGGGCTTAATTGTAAGGAGGGAGGAGCTACTGTGAGGGCTGGACACAAGTCTTGCTAGATGAGAAAATGTTCTAGGTCAGCGTCATGCTTCCCTCCTGATAAGGGGTTTTTATGATGAGGCATTATCTATGACACACATTTGCAGTTATTGTCGCAGCTAGGAGATTTGAAGACTAAAAATGAGAATTTAGAGGGAATTTCCTATTGAATAGTCTGGGAATTTCTGAGATACATAAATAATGTTTCAATTATAAATTCCTTTTCTGTTTGTTTGTTTGCTTTCGCAAGCTGGATCTTGATTTGTTGCCCAGACATGAAGGCAGTGGCATATTCATAGCTCACTTCAACCTCTCACTCCTTCTCAAGCAATCTTCTTGCCTCAGCCTTCTGAGTAGCTAGGATTACAGGCATGTGCCACCATGCAAGGCTAATTTTTCACATTTTGGTTAGAAACAGGTTCTCATTATGTTACTGATCTTGAGCTCCTGGCCTCAAGAGATCCTCCAGAGTCAGCCCTTTGGGGTATTGCAGGTGCGAGCCACTGTGCTCAGACCAGATTATAAGTTCTTATTTTCTTAAAATATACGAATCATTTAGGGAATGATAGATTTTAAAAATCATTTTTTGCATCATAAGATGTATATGTGATTGGAGTTTTAACACTCAAAAACAGCTTCATAAGCTGCATTGAGCTATAAGTTTTCCCCAAATTACTAGAGAATGAATGACCACATTTCTCCTGTCTGTCCCCTCTATGTCCTATGGGAGCTTATGTGACAGGAAAGAGCTACTTTTCATGTGCTGTTTTTGTAAAGGAAAAAGTAAAATAGCCCTGGTCTCTAGGCCTACGTTCTATATAAAAACCAACCACACCTGAACACCCTGGGGTGGGTGGAATTTTGTGGGGAATTTCTAAGAACCCAGGTTATAACCAATTCTGGGCCATTTTGTCCTAGTCTTTGGCTCTAGAAGAATGAGTTCTGGGCCATTTTGTCCGGGCTTTAGAAGAATTTTCCTTTAGTCCACAAAGACACAGGGAAGGGGACTTGAGATGCCCTAGTGCAGGGACCGCACCCCCCTGAGTATCTTCGAGAGGGCACCCTGCACATCGGGGTTCCTGAGGCTGTAGATGATTGGGTTCAGCATGGGGTTGATGACAGTGTTAAAGATCCCAACAGCTTTATCT